TGCTCGTGATCCCGTTAATAGCCGGGCTTCCTACCCACTGCTGCAAGAGCTGACGTTGGCAAGGAAGGGGTCTGGCTCACCTCCCTCTCCGGGTGGAGGGTACCGGTAAATCCAGCCCCCTCCTGCTGCAACTGCCCCCCCTGTTAAACTACCTCATATCTCCTGCTCTTGAGCCAGTTGGGTTTTTTACCTCCCCTTTACAGGTCACCTGCTTGTACGCAGAAATCTGCAGGTATTTGTGAAGCAATTCAGACGTGACAGGGCAGGGACTAGGTTTTTTGTTTGTGTGGGTTTTGTTGTTGGTTTTTGTTTGTTTGTTTGTTTTTAACTTGTCCCACCCGCCGGGATCAAGGCAGGAACACATTTGTGTCTGGGGTTTACCTCCATATAAAGCACACATGTGCGGGCTTATTCAGATCCTCACAAAACTCAAAATTATTGCACAAGTTTTCAACTGAAACTAGAAAAGGTAATGCAGAGACGACGGTGCAGTCAGGTGCTCGTGGAGCTTTTCCAGTAACAGCCTCTCAGCTAGGTCCAGCTTTGCTTCCAGCGCTCAGCTCTTAGCCTGACTCCCACCGTTTCTGCCCATTTTCCTTCCCCTTGCCCTGTCTCCTCTGGAAGAGGATGCCCGGCCGGATGATGTGATGTGCGTGCTATCTCAGCACCAAGACTGCAGATTCCCTTGAAATTCCTGTGCCCTGTTTATGCCCCCTTGACTTCAAGCCTAGAGCCATGGATGGTCAGCTGGCTTGTCTACCTCACTTCTTGGTAATCCTAAAGTCACACAGCCAGGGACCCCCACTGATGCTGCAATGCAAGGAACTAATACGTATTTCTTTAAGAAGAAAGCTGTTGGCAGCAAACCACATTATCCTAAAAGAGTAAGGATAATCGTAGTTCAGAGTCTTGGATGCTACAGACCCAGGAGGTGATACCAGTAGCCCAGAAGGAAGGTGAAAAGAGACTTAAATCAAGCTGGCCACTGTTCTGTCTGACCAGGTGGAGAGTTTTAAAGAAAGATAAGCTGAGCCAGTGGGGTGTTGCAAACAGGAGCCTTATCACAGAGGCAGAAGAATCCAGTCCAGGATGACCCAAGGCCCTTTTGGCCATTCGTAGCACCTCTCATCTGAGAGGAACTCAGCACCCCACAGATGTCAGGGGCAAAAAATTTAGTGCGGTGTACTGGAATACAGCCAGAGCTCATCTTAAGTGAAATCTTATTGTCTTCCACGCTCAAAAGTGTCATCTGGGTATTGCAGGGAGCGAGGGAGAGGCTAAGTGACTTGGGGGTCGTGCGGGCAGCTCGCAGGCAGAGCCCAGAACAGAATCTCATGGCCAAGCCTCTTTCTTCCAATGCCCGGAACTGGATTTTTCTGCCAAATCAAGCAGTGCTGTGAATGTGTCCCGGGCACAGGTGCCAACCCACTGACCTTGGGTGGGATCCTGCCCTGAAACACTCAAGATCTCTGCCTGAGAAGGTACTCACAATCTTCCCCTGAATAGCCGATGACGGTGTCAGGCTCCGGCGCTCTACCGAAGTCATTCTCTGCCTGCACTTTGATCTCGTAGGGTACGTAGATGGGTGTATTCCAGACGACATGCCTTGGTGTCTTCACTGTCTCATTGTACCAGCTCCCTCGGGGGTCCCTTCGCCTCCATCTCACGATGTACCTGAGGTTTGGCCCATACGCTTGAGTTGCATTCAGAGGCTTGATGGACCAAAAAAGAAAGTGAGAAGGAGAAAGAGCAACTGTATTTCTCTGCTATGGAGCTCCAAAAAGTTCTGTTCAGCAGCTGGTTCTTATTTCATGCTCCATCAGCAAACCTCAAAGGAGGTCAATACTTTTGTTCCCAGAGCGAGACACACTTAGCCCTTGCCCTCCAGTCCCAAGGCGGGAGCAAGAACCATATCCTTATATTCCAGTCCATACTCCCACTGCAATTCCTACCCTCCTTACAGATGCTGGCTTATCTGTGGATGACACCTGCTGGTCCACAAAGAAAAGCAAGAGCTGATCTGTAAGCCCTACGTACTGCTTAAGGAATCAAACTCTCTGAGCATCCTCCCTAACCTGTATCTGTGATCCAGTATCTTTTCTTTGGTTTACATAGTTGCAAATTATTGTTTTTATCACAAACCTCCTTCTAGGCACTAACAACGGCCTCTCTTGTAGATGCACCTTCTGCTTTCTATTTCCTTTATGATCATTAGGGTTATGGTATTCTGTGTGGTACATCACGTGCGCTAGAGATGCTGAGTTCTCTGGATCTTAGTGTCTGTGACCGTAATGTAAGACACTGAGTGGCTGTCAAGCGTTAAAGAAGAACTCACCGTCCAGGTTATCTCCATGTTGTTTTTTTGGGTCCCTGCACCTTGAACTCCTGTGGGGTTAATTTCAGGACCTGAAATTCACATTGGAAAAAAATGTTTATAATGTCGAAAAGTGACCATTTGAGTGGTTAAAAACCCGTTACTGTGCAAGCCAAAAGTACTTCCAAGATAGAAGTTAATGGCCTGATTTTTCCAGAAGTTCCCATTCAGGTTAATGGAACATGAGACTCTCAGCACTCTTGAAAACCAGGCCATTTATTTAGGAGCCTCTTTTTTTTTTTTTTTTTTTTTTTTAAACAAAATGTCCTAAATCTTTGAAAGACAGCCATTGTGAAGCAACCCCAGGAGCCGAGTCTGACACTTTTGAAATCTAAAACAAGAAGAGCGATGTTGAAAGCCAACACTAGATGCCAGTAGATATTGCAGAAGTATCTCTGCAATGGTTAAATGAAGCAATGCAGCAACACTACTAAGCTTCTTGTGAATTCCTCATATGAATTTTCCCAAGTATTCTACAACGTACAAAGCACTGGGCACACAAACTGAAGGCCTGAGTCTTGGTCATGGACTGGAGCACGCTGTACTCCCTGCATCGTAGAACCACAGAATGGTTTGGTTGGAAGGGACCTTAAAGCCCATCTCGTTCCAACCCCCCTGCCCTGGGCAGGGACCCCTCCCACCAGACCAGGTTGCTCACAGCCCCATCCAACCTGGCCTTGAACACTCCCAGGGATGGGGCAGCCACAGCTTCTCTGGGCAACCTCTGCCACTGCCTCACCACCCTCATAGCATCCATCTGGGCTCCTGGCCAGCTCTAGCAGTGGGCAATGAATTCGCAATTTTGGAACAAAATGCCTTTTGCTTTACACTTGAGTCTAATTTTCCAAGAGACTTCTGAGCTTCCTGGGGTCAGAAAGGAGGACAGACTTTCTTTAGAATGCTTCTCTGTAAGGTGAGACCGGGCTTTCCTTCAACAGATTCTGCTGGAGTGACCTTTGCATAAATCTTTCTGTTTGAGTTTTGCTGCTCCGCAGAATATCAGTCATGGGCTTGAGGATGTGATACATAAAATTACACCCCAGGACATGACTGCATGGACCAGGTCATTCCCTCACTGTGTAAATCTGTTTCTGTCACAGGAGCTGTGCTCATACACCGTGAGGGAAGAGTCTACGTGGAGAGCGGTGGCCAGATGCTAAGAACAACGTCAAGTCTCCGCGGCAAGAGGGACCAGGCAGACGGTACTCACGTGCCCCGTTGGTCTGGTATCGTTCGGAGGGCGCGCTCGGCAGGCTGCTGCCCACGTCATTCACCGCAATCACCCGAAACTGGTAGTTGACGTAAGGAGAGAGGCTCAGGACGGCCGAGTTGACGCTCCCGGGGTATCTGGAGTGGTTATGCCACATGCCGGGTTGGAACCGGTCCTCCTCAAACTGGACAATGTAGTCTGGGGGAGAGGATGGAGGGTGAGGTTAAAGGCCCAGCTCTCACGGGAAGTTTTCCCTCCACTGTGCAGAAGAGAGCAAGGGATTTGGGGCAGAGGGTCCGGCAGCGGACCTGTGATGGGGCTGTTATTGTCATCGCCGGGAATCCACGTCAACCGCACGCTCCTCTCGGCCAGGTCTGTCAGCTCCAAGTCACGAGGCCGGTCGGGTCGTTCTGTTGGCCGAGTAACGAGACAAATTAGGCTGGGATTGTCCCAGGAGCTGGGAGTCTCAGTTCCCATCACTTCTCCCGCGAGGGGAAGCCCTGGCTGTCTTAGCCCAGACCCGTGGGAGGACACGTGCTCTGTGGCACGATTCGCATCCCGCAGCTCTTGGTGGACCAGTGCAATTTTTTAAATGCAAACATGCTCATGTACTAATCGTGCCTTGCCTTGAAACCTACCTGCTCCCTGTACAACTGATGTTATCTGGTGGTGGAAGCACGATATAGCGGATTAGCAGGGGGGATATAAGATCTTACAACAAACTACATGCAGCTGCCCAAAAAATAAATGCAAACAAATAGAATAGAAAGGACAGAAAGCCTCAGTGAAAATACCTACTTGTTAGAAATGCTCTGGGTACAATTCTGGTTTCTTTCTCTGGTCACAACCCACATGGTAGCACAGAACCGGTTCATGCAATAGCTGTAACAGCAATGACTTCTTTCCAGGTAAAGGTCAAGGGATTCAATGTGATTTTTTTTTTTTTTTCTCCTATCAGGGCTCACCATTTCCAGGTATGGGTAAAGTGATTCTTGCACTCAGGAATTAGCACTGTGGGACACAGGACCTTTCTACCCGCAGCCATCTGGATGGGTTTTCAAGGACAACTTGGACAGGACTTGGAAGCATCAGCTCCCAGCTTTTTCACCCGCTACAGTTAGCTTTTCTGTTGGCATTATTGGCAAGGCAAAACAAAAATCAATTTACAAAATAAAATAAACCCAGTGAATGAGCGGTGGTTACCTTTCGGTAAGTCTCTCAAACGGTTAGCGGGGATGGCTGCAAGGTAAGACATTGGTTGTTAACGGTGTTAGTTTAGTCATTATGCTTGGGCGGCCAAAGGAACACCTGGCAAATATCGAGTCACAGACACAGCTGCAGATTTCAGAAGGATCCGATCCTGCCTGGAGACCAGAGTAGGTACGTCCTTCCCCAGAGACCTCCAGGCATGCTCTGCACACCTTTATTCATACGTCTAGTACACAGCAAAGGGGAAACGTCAGCCTGCTATAGAGTTAATGAGCTATTAGGGGAAAAAGAAGGGAAATAAATTATGAGGGATACAGGATTCATATTACACTGACTTCTGTAGGGCACTGCAGGTCTATGCCAGCGGCGCTGGCAGGTTGGGGCACTCCTGTGAATGTAGCATGTCAGCAAGATGCAAGGCGGTCAAGAGCAGGGATTGATAACTCTGTGTTTTGCAAGTAGACCTCGCAGTGTATGTAAGTGGGTGTGGAGAAGGGGCTTAGGTTTATGGAAAAGGAGACCTGCAGGGCTAGGGGTGGCTGGCTCACCCCCGGGTTTCCAGTGTTGCTCAGCACCCTTGCATTCAGTTAAATTCACTTGCAAATTTAAAACTGTTCTCACCGAGCTTCAACATCCACATTTGGATATTTTTCGCTGTATGTAATAACTTTTTTTTTTTTTTTCTCAAATGCAAGTTTTCTTCGACTCAAATTCACTGCCTTTGTCTGAGTCTGAGATTAGAGAGCATGTCCTTGCTGTCCTGCAGCAACGGAACAACTGCTCTGCCAGCATCTCCCTGAGCATCTCTGCTTCAGAGGACAATTCTGTGATCGCAGATCACCCTTTCTGTCTGACCTTGAAGTCAGTCAGTTGTATTAAAAATAAAGCACTCAGCTGGGTGTCAGAAGGTTGGGAGGACAGCTTTACCTAGTACGGTGAGGTACGCTTTAGCGGAGTCCTTGTCCAGCTCCGTGCTAGCTACGCAGGTGTAATCCCCTTGGTCCTTTTCAGCCACGCCATATATTGTCAGACCATCCTCTTCTTTCTTCATCCTTAAAGGCATGAAAATGATCATCACACAACTGTGCTTAAGCACATTAGGCAGCAGGATTACGGTCTAACTGTTCCCTGATAAAACACATACAAAACCCAAACAGAACAGGAGTATGTCTCTGGTCTGAAGATTTTATCAGCTAAGGATGTGTTGAGTTATTCTTGGAAACCTCATTTCCTAAGGAATCAGCGAATGCGCTCTGGTATGTATCTGGAATAATCACGCTTTTAGGAAAACAGTCTGACCTCCGACTGGCTCGTGTCCTGTGATCAGATCTCACTTCACGAGAAGGGAGTCAGCTAGGGAAAGGAAATTACAGCTGTACCACTCACAGCAGATAAACATTACTTTTGAAGCAGCTCGTTATTAAACCACCCGTTTTATCAAGATGTCCTAAAATACCTGTAAATAAAACCTATAGTCAAAGTCTTGGTTTACTGCTAAGTCAATTTTAATTGCTAGGCAGTGTCTGTTGGAAGGAGCTAGTAACATTAGAAGGATCGAGAACAGCAAATACTGCCTAGATGGGAACTCAGTGTTTATCCATGTTATCCCTGGTGACTCCTGAAACACTCTGTAAACAAAGTCTGACAGTCCTGGGAGAGAAGACCCACGAAACCCTTATACACAGACCTGTTTCCAATGTACAGGGGTGCATCATCTTTCAGCCAGGTGACCGTGAGTTTCAGTGTAGGGTCGTGCTTTATACGGCAGTGGAGGCGAGGCATGGAGCCCCTCTTCACCGCTTGGTCTTCTGGTCCTCTCACAATCCTGGTTGGGTCTGCACAACGCCAGAAAGAAAGCGTTAGGGACCCAACTGCTGGGTCTTGGCTCAGGAACTCGGTGAAGAGCCGTGTTACTGGGCAAGGACAAGCCTGCATGTCAAGTGTTTGTCCAGCTTGCTATAGCGAACCATCTCCGATACAAACACTTGCAAGTAAATTAATTTAACAAGCCACTAAAAAAAACCCTTTAAGAAATACCCAGTTTTCTGAGTCAGGATTCACTTTTGCTGAACAGGGGAAGCCCCTTGGAAACTTGATTCAGAAAAGGTTTTATTGCCATCAGTTAACCCTGAGGAACACTTTGTATTTCTTTTTGCATTGCTTATGGCATCTCATAGCTCAGTATCCACACCAAGCCCTTCTACAGCTTCATTATATCCACAGCCTTAGCTTTTTTTCCAACATTAAAAGGGAATCTCTACCATTTTCTGGATTCCAGCTCCAAATTGTGTAGCGCCTGTCCTGCTGGCAGACTGCTGGATCGCAGAACCACCCCTCCCTTAACCTAAATTATTATTTCTGCTGCACGTTTCAGAAGATCAAGAGACCGCTTTGACCTAGAGCCCTTCGTTCTCCTACCTTTGACCTCCAGGCGAACCTGGGCCTCCGCTTTACCCAGGATGTTGGTAGCGACACAAGTGTAGATGCCCTGGTCCTCCTTCCGAGCCATGTTCATCTCCAAGCTCCCGTTCTCGTGCGCCTTGTAGTTTCCTCCATCCAGCGTGTTCCCCTGGCCATTCTTAAACCTCACAACACCACAAAGTGCTATTGTAAGGGAAGAAAGAACAGGAAACCTCCCCTTCCCACCCCGCCGGACTGGCAGGGGACGTGCCGCAGCTCTTACCATCTCAAGGTGGGGATCGGCGAGCCAAAGAAAGGGCAGTCGAGTCGGGTCCTGTTGTTTTGAATCACCTTGATGAGCTGATTGCGGGGGGCCAGGATCCGTGGAGGCACATCTGCAAACAGCAAAAAATCACAGCCATTGAGAGAGAAAAGAAATCAGTGCCTGGTTTCTGCCACTCCCTTTCCAGTCTTTTCATCCACCCTCCCTTTTCTTTTCCTTACTCTTCCTTGTTGGCACTTTCAAGACTCAGTAGAGTTTCTCCGTTCCCTCTCATCTCGCCTTCGCTTTCTAGCCTCACCACACAAATCAGCTTACATCTCAGCACCCACAGGACTTGCTCAGCCTTGCCTGGCTTTGCAGGTCCGTGGCAATGGACTTCTGCTCCAAAGCCTGGTCGCAGAGGTCATGTACCCTCGTGCGTTAGCCTCAGAGTAACTAACAACAAAGAGGAAAGCAAATAGAGAACTCCCATAGGTGAAACTTGGGTATAGGGTGTTCATCTTCCGTAAGAACTTACCCAAGACGCTGACAAAGGCGTTGGCAAGAAGGTAGCCATGCTCGTTGGATGCGTTGCATTGGTACACGGCACTGCTGCCGATCTGGGTATCTCGAAATACAATCGTGTCTCCAGCCACCTCTCGGCTCGGGTTGGGGGGAGAAGCTTCAAAAGAGAGAGCACTCTTTAAATGAAATTTTAAATTAAAATTCACAAGATGATATCAGTATGCATCTTTCCGCCTCCGCCCAGATAAAACCAGACGATGGTACGTGACCCTCCCCAGCCTACAAAGACACGGCTCAGCTGGCCTCATCTCAGACAAGCAGGTGGTTTGTGTGCTGCGATGCTGGAGCCCACGCAGGCTGCTCAGTGGGGTGCGTGGCACCCC